CTGCCTTGTATCAGCGGTTCAGGCTGGCGGTGGTGGTGTAATGGTGTGGGGGAGATTTTCCTGGCACACTTTAGGCTCATTGGTACTAATTGACCATTGTGTTAACGAAACAGCCTACCTGAGTATTGTTGCTGAGTCTGACCATGTCCATGCCTTTATGACTGAGTAACATTATTTTGACAACGCTAGTTTGTATTGTTCCTGTGTTGTATCCTCTATTATCGGTCTCTTTCTCTCTCTCCACATGAGCGGAGATCAGGTGCAGCTGTGAGAGGGGCGGCGCCAGTTATAAAAGCACGCTGAAGGCGCTGCTCGTCGAGTTCTCTTCCCGTTTCCCCTCGCTGTTCTCTGTGTGGCAGTGATATCTTTCTGTCTGAAACCATATTCCAAAGTCATCTGGTGAGATACTCTGTTAAACACGGTAATAGGACGGTATCCTGTGTTAGCTAAATGTTTACTTACTGCTGAATGATCAAAGGGAAGGCCCCTTTTCTTTTGTCCCGTTTTTTCATGTTTAATGGATAGTCAGGGAGGGTAGAATTGTATGTTTTATTTACGGAACTTTATTTTCGGTTTAGGTAAGAAATGTAATATTAGGTAGCGTACCTTGTTTTGTTTGTTGTTTTTGGCCTTTTTGTTCCCTGCTTCTGATACCGAAATATTTGTTTAATAAATCTGATATCCCTTTTGACAACTTGGCCTGTGTGTGTAAGTGCTTGGGGAACAGGAACAGGGACTCTGTGTGACCTCTTTGAACAGCGGTCATCCTTAACCTTATGTGCGTAGCGAGGTGCATTCGCTACATAACAATGACCTCTGTGTACCTTCTGATGGCTACTTCCAGCAGGATAACACACCATGCCATAAAGCGCAAATCATCTCAGACTGGTGACAATGAGTTCACTGTACTCAAATGGCCTCCACAGTCACCAGATCTCAATCCAATAGAGCATCTATGGGATGTGGTGGAACAGGAGATTGGCATCATGGATGTGCAGCCGACAAATCTGCAGCAACTGTGTGATGCTATCATGTCAACATGGAGTAAAATCTCTGAGGATTATTTCCAGCACCTTGCACCTAAAGTGCACCAAATAAAGTGGCCGGTGAGTATTTATATAAACTAAATTCTCTTTATAGAAAGCAATCTATAGCGTAAAAAATTAAAATTAAAATAAATGATATTTTCAGATTTTTTTTTTAAATAAAATGCACAAAATTGTACAACTAGTAAAATAAAATTCTAATTTTTATACAAATTTTAAAGTAATTTTATTAAAAAACATTATTGTGATCACAAATTATTATTATTTAATATTATAATTTAATTAATTTTAATAAATAAACTCAAACATTCTTGAATAGATTCTTAAATTAAGAATGCAGTTTCTTAATGAATCATTTTTGTGATGCTTTGTCTTGTTTTTCACACTTTAAACCATTTTAAAGTGTCAAGTGTAAAGTGTTTAAAAAACAAACATAATTACAGTGGATATTGTTGAAAACTAAATTCTCTTTCTAGAAAGCAATTTGTAGCATAAAAAAACATCAAAGTTGCTATTTCCTGAATGATATCCGTGCATATACAAATATTTATTAACGTGACTGAAAAACAACTCAAAGATCTCATTAGTCCAATTAAAAACAAACAAAAACAGAGATTAGAATCTCCTGAAAAAGCCATCTGTGTGGTGCATTTAGCAGTCTCAGGTAGCAACCGCAGGCGTTTCTCGACGTAAAGCTTGAGTTTTTGTGAGTTATTTTTGTTGGGTTGTTGTTTCTGCAGCGTGGTGATTGAAAGGCTGAGAGCGCGAGGAGACATGCGAGGTATTAACACCTCATCTCTAATCTCCTTGCCTCATTTGGACGGCAGCATTTTTAATTAAACAGATCATTGCTCTTTTTCATCCTGTGAAATTAAACATTAAGAGAAAATCCCTTCTGCGAAAGCTCCAGATAGCGGTTTTATCAAGCTTTCTCGCTCTCCCTCTTTTCAATAGGCCTCGGCCTGATATGCGGGGAAGCGCTTGTTCCGTTAATGAAAGAAAAAGACGGAGGAAAAAGACCTCACCTCTGCAGTCTCAGCTCCATGGGGTCAAAATGAAACGCACTTTCAGAGGATTCCCCATCATCTCCTCGTCTCTCGCGCTTTCTCTCCTTCTTCTCCTCTTTTCTGTAGATCTTCATCATCTGTTTCTCCTGCTCAGACTGGATGGTCACCTGACAGCCGTATGTGGGCATGTTGGATTCATCTCGCAGACCTTTAGGCTTTCCTGTCATTGCCACCAAAACAGACACCAGACACAATGTAAAATAAATAATAAGGGTTACATTAGATTAACAATGCAGTTCAAATAGACTACCCTTTTGTTATGTTTGGGGCTGATTTTGTCCCATTGACATCCATTATAAGCACATTTTTGGATTGCAAAGCTGTGTATTGTTCAAATGGACTAAACTTTTGTTATGTTTGGGGCTGATTTTGCCCCATTGACTTCCAATAAAATGACATTTTTTGATTGCAAAGCCGTGTACTGTTCAAATGGACTACCCTTTCATTATGTTTGGGGCTGTTTTTACCCCATTGACTTGTATTATAATCCCATTTTTGGATTGCAAATTTTGCGCCAGATTTTGCCATTTTGCGCCAGACCGCACACCACACACCAGCTGATTGGTGGAGAGGAGACAGTGATGAAGCCAATTGAATATGAGGATGTTTAGGAGGCCATGATGTACAGAGGCCAGTGGGCAGATTTGGCCAGGATGCTGGGGTTAAACCCCTACTCTTTTCAAAGGACATCCTGGGATTTTTAACGACCACAGAGAGTCGGGACCTCGGTTTAACGTCTCATCCGAAAGACGGCGCTCACTGAGCAGTATAGCTTCCCCGTCACTATACTGGGGCATTAGGACCCACACAGACCGCAGGTTGGGCGCCCCCTGCTGGCCTCACTAACACCACTTTACTGAATGAGCACTGTGCTGCATCCGACATATTGCACTATTATGTTTTTCTTTTTCATTCTTTTATAACTTATTTTAACTATTTTAATTAGTTTTTATCTGTTCTTAATCATTTTTATCGTCTGCTTTTTATGTTCCTAAACTTGTCTTTTTATTCTAGTTTATGTAAAGCACTTTGAATTGCCACTGTGTATGAAATGTGCTATATAAATAAACTTGCCTTGCCTAAATCACTCGTATATGTGAGTGAATTGTATGCTGGGGCGACTAAATGATGTTTATTTACAGCCATTGGCTATTAAAGTTTTAGATTTCACTAATCAGTGAGTGGGTTGGAAGTGAAGGGTGCACTATTCCTGTTCATACCTTTTATATACTGTATATATAGATACATCTCCTCTCATAAATCAGACAAACTACATGCAAATCACATTCTCTGAGGCCAATTTCTTCAGTATAAAGTGGCAATTCAAAGGCCAGATTCATGTATAACTATCCACTATATGATTTTAATGAATGTAGATGATTACCTGACTAATATTCAGAAACCTGAGAGACTATCAGCAGCAATAACATTTGATTTACATTGTTTTAATGACCAATAAACTGTTTAGCAATAAATTAGTTGAATGTTTTAAAGTTTTCAAAGTCAAAAAGTCAAAGTCAGCTTTATTGCCACCACATGTACAGGACATATAGAGAATCGAAATTACGTTGCCCTCAGACCCTAGGACAGACACATATAATGTTAATACAAAAAGTAGAGTTTTAATTTACAATAAGTACAATTATACATAAAATGAAATCTAAATATATATACCTTAAATTTAGTCTAAATATTTTACATAAATGTGATCTAAATATATACATAAACTGTAATCTAAAGAATAATAATAAAAAAGAAATAATAAAAATTGTAATTATTACAATACAATACAATACAAAAACATTAAGGGCATATGGCATTGAGTGCAAGCCAGAGTTGTGCAGATATAGAACCGTATATAGTGCAAAAAGGCTTGTAAACATGAGATTTACAAGCCTTGTTATAATTAAAAAAGATGATTACACATGATTATCACATAATAATCTATACAATAGTTGTGTTTTTGTTAAGAGAAACACACACAAACATGTAATTAATTGACAAACCACCTGTACGACACATTCCTCCTGTCCCAAACATCGAAGTGTTCCAGCACAACACATACACTTAATACACTTCATTACACATGTGCACATAGACGTCACCTACATGCTATAAAACTGCAGGTTAATTAAGTTTATATATAATAACTTATATTTGATTGTAAATTTAACTTAATAATTATAATAATAATATAATATAATACAATAATTATTGTAAAAAGCGCTACACAAACAAACAAGAATAAACTTTAATAGTTTGACATGAAAAAATACATCAGAAAGCTTAATTTCAACTTAAAACGATGAGATGAAACGAAATTACAGGTCAGTCCTTAAAATCCTGGCCACATATATATATATACTGTAGGCGCAGTGGCTCTCTGCTCACAGCTCGGCATCTAAAGCTATTTTGGCTCATTCATCGACACGAAATTATTTGGGCTCAAGTCTTGTAAGACTAAGTGCCGCTGGCGTAGTGAAGGCTGGGGTTTAATATTAACCCTATCAGAGGGTTAAAGTGCTATCAGACTGCTTCTGTCTGCAGCACAACAGCTCAATAAAAAGCCCAATAGCTCTTGAAAGCAGATGAGATGGGATGATTGCATCGGGGCACAGGCTGATTGTCTGAATGATCTCTGCTTTATCTCTTCTAAAGGCTCACCCACAGCAAACCCATCTGCTCCCGCTATTCATCTGTCTTTCGCAACACGTCCTTCACTCCTCCTACCTGAACCGTCCATCTATAAGCACCGCTCGTGAAGCTGAAAATGAGGGAAACCGATTGCATAGCTTACTTTTTTTGGAAGAGAAGTTTAGCACAATGCTCTAGCTGACTTTTTGTTTCTTAATAACACGTAAGCACAGAACACGAATGAGTGTAATGTACAGGTGAAATCAGCTATATATTTTTTCGACTGTCAACAGAACAAACCATCATTATACAATAACTTGCCCTAAATGCCCTAACCTGTGTAGTTAACCTAATTAACCTAGTTAAGCCTTTAAATGTCACTTTAAGCTGTATAGAAGTGTCTTGAAGAATATCTAGTCTAATATTATTTATTGTCATCATGACAAAGATAAAATAAATCGGGTATTAGAGATGAGTTATTAACACTATTATGATTAGAAATGTGTTAAAGAAATCTGCTCTCCGTTAAACAGAAATTGGGGGAAAAAATAAAAAGGGCAGCTAATATTTTAGGGGGGCGAATAATTCTGTCCCCCTTAGACTTTTATCTTTGGGATCATCTGAAGGCAATAGTCTATGGTGTGAAGATATAAGACGTGCAGCACCTGAAACTATGGATACTGGAAGCCTGTGCTGGCATTTCTCCTGCGGTGTTGCCATCAGTGTGTGAAGAGTGGGAGAAGAGGCTTGCATTGACAATCCAACACAACGGGCAGCACATTGAACACATTTTATAAGTGGTCAGAAACTTCTAAATAACTCATGAAAGAATAAAGTTACATTAAAACCGAGTACACCATTGTGTTTCTTGTGAAATTCCCTATGAGTTTGATGTGTCACATGATCCTCTTTCTATTGAAAAAAACAAAAAGTTGGATCTAAGATGGCCGACTTCAAAATGGCCACCCTGGTCACCACCCATCTTGAAAAGTTTGCCTCCTAACAAATACTAATGTGCCACAAACAGATCGTTAATATCACCAACCATTCCAATTCTATTAAAGTGTATCCACATAAACGGCCCAACCTACATGTATGTGTGTGTATGTATATATATATATATATATATATATATATATAT